ATCTGTAAATCCTGAGTTTGAGCGCAAATTCGAGCGCAAAAAAACCAACGATAATATATATATAGATATGCAGGCAGGTAGAAACCTCCTTCCTAAATTGCCTGTAGCAGACAACTAATTTTTGAACCTCTGAAAAAATGTGCACAAAGAGACATCTATAGCAAATTGATTACTTTCTATATGCCTTTCTCCCCTTTCTGCTATCTGTAGGAAATACGCATTTGTGTTATATAAACATACAGTACGCGTATTGCATCCTGTATAGTTCAAGTGTTGCTATCTCAGTATACATTGTTGATACTATAGTACGCATTTAGTGTTATCACGCATAAACAAAGTGATAAATTAGCAACAATCCAGAGGATAAAATGCCATGCGTACGACATAGATGGTGCTTTTTGCTCCTTTTCTCAAGACCTCTAAATTTATACCTGTCTGCATATCTATATATATATTATCGTTGAAAAAAACTCCTACTTTGGGGGTGGATACGTTTTTAGAATTATTTTTTTTTTAATTATTAAATAACGACTACAAAAAATAAAGTACAAATTATACAGTAATCTAATTAGATGGTTAGGAACATAAAACTTAAAAGAAATTTTTTAAAAAACCAATGCTAAAATCGAATATTTCGTTTTTATTGTTATTTTGAATTTCTTATCTTCTTTGAACTTATTCGCAGAATTCGTCAAATTCTTCAAATGTTGTCTTTTCAATAATAATTCTCGAAAATCTGCGAAAATTCTTTGTGAATAATCAGAAACCAGAAAAATGAGGAAATAGAATCTAATAATTGAACAAGATTACTTATTTTCGATGATAAGATTAATTTTTATTTTCTCAACATGTTCCTTTACATGACATCTGTAGTTTATTGTAGAACTTTTTTTCCATTTTATGTCGTCGTTATTTAATAATTTTAAAAAACTAATTCTGAAAACGTATCCACCCCAAAAGTAGGAGTTTTGAACGTCGAATTTGCGCTCAAACTCAGGATTTACAGATCTCTAAGTCTGCCCTCTAACCTATTTAGTCTACCCTCTAACCTGTTCATTATTAAATCAGCCCTCTAACCTGTTGAGTCAGATCTTTAAGAAGTTTAATATCTCTCAAATGAATCCGAAAGATGTTTTCCACAACACTGCATACTCAGTTCAACTACCTTACATAGCCGTTCACTCCCTTTAACACTGAAAAGGTTAGAGGGTAGACTAAATACTAAAGAAGGTTAAAGGTTAGACTGAAATATTGGAGGGCGGGCAGGCTTGATCCCTCAATTTTAATTCCGACCATGGGATATCTGAATGAATCGTTTAAATCTTTCTGGGAACAAAATAAAACTGATTTAGAGATTTACAAGACAACAGGTTGAAAAATAAGATTTCTCTTCAAATAATCTAAATGAGAGCCTCAAGAGGTCCTTTGATAACCATCAAAGCCTATGACAATTTAAATTCTTTCTATGCTAAATTTCAGGTAAAAATGAAAACAATTTGCTTGATTTTTTTCATCAAGTTTCATCTGGTTCTTGGTGGGATATTCTACCATTCCAGGCTAGAGGAGGGTAGATCAGATAGGTCAGTTTAAACCTATCTTCTTGTTTTTATTCCAGGCTAGAGGAGGGTAGATCAGATAGGTCAGTTTAAACCTATCTTCTTGTTTTTATTCCAGGCTANAATCTTAAAACCCACGACAATGATTATAATAATCCTAAAACCCTGAATAATGGTTATATTAATCCTAAACCAAAGATAATGATTTTAGTAATCCTATTAATCCCTGGATAATAAATATATTAATCTAAAGATCTTAGATAATGATTATAGTAATCCTAAAATCCTGGATAATGATTATATAGACCCTAAAATCCTAAATAATCATTATATCAATCCTAAAAATCCTAAATCATGATTATAGTAATCCTAAAATCCTGGATAATAAATATATAATTCCAAGAACCCTGGATAATAATCATATTAAAATCCTGAATAATGATTATATTAATCCGAAAACCCTGCATGAAGATTATATTAATCCTAGAACCCTGAATAATAATTATTCAAAACCTAGAACCTTGGATAATGATTTTTTAAATTCTAGAACCATGCATAATAATCATTTTAATTCTAGAACCCAGGATTAAGATTATATTAATACTGGATCCCTTAGATAATAATTATATTCATCCTAGAACCCTGAATAATGTTTATATTAATCTTAGAACCCTGGATAATGATTATATTCATCCTAGAACCCTTAATAATGATTATATTAATCTTAGAACCCTGGAAAATGATTATATTCATCCTAGAACCCTGGATAATGATTATATTAATCCTAGAACTCTGGAAAATGATTATATTAATTTAAGAACCTTGGGTAATAAATATATTAATTATAGAACCCTGGATAATGATTATGTTAATCATAGAACCTTGGATAATAAATATATTAATCATAGAACCCTGAATAATGATTATATTAATCATAGAACCTCGGATAATAAATATATTAATCATAGAACCCTGAATAATGATTATATTAATCATAGAACCTTGGATAATAAATATATTAATCATAGAACCCTGAATAATAATAATATTAATCCTAGAACCCTGGATAATAAATATATTAATCCTAGAACCCTGGATGATGACTATGAAGACCTGAATGGGACTGAATATGATGATATTGTGAGAGGATCACTGTACCGGAGGATTGAAGAAGGTACACTTGGTTATGGTTCCATCTCACCGGCACCTGATCACTGGAGATGTATTCCTAAGTGGTCAAGGTAAAGTTAAGAATTCTGTAGATTTAATAAATTTTTATAAAATAAACTGTTCATTTATGAAATATTAGCTTTGCTTTGTACAAACTGAATTTGCTAAAAAAAAGCAAACTTTAACCCTCCTCCCCCGTAACCCTCAAAATAGGAAAATTTCCACTCATAGTTGAAATCATAGAGAATAGAATATATATTAGAGTGGAATTTAGACAACCCTTCGGTATGAATTTTGTCAGTCCCTTTTACCCTGAAAGGAAGTTCAAAGTGTACAAATCCTGTAAATGTTCACAAATTATATGCAATAGAGTACATTAATACAGTATGTTCCCTAGATTTTCCATTTCATTTTCGATATTTTTAAAGCTGTTAAATAAACTTTATAATGAATTAGGTGAATAAAAACATCATTTGATTTATAGTTATAACGGAAAATCATCGTTTGTAAAGTGAAAGGCATTGGTAAATGATGAAACCAGCCTATTTCATAATTTGGTTTTTTTTAATATTAATCTTAGATTTTCAATAAAATGATGTTCCAGGGCCCAAAAGGTTATATAGCGCAGATATGTGAAGTACACCTGCGCTATGGAAACAGTACAACAAAATGGCCGTTTTACACTTTTTTCTAATAAATTCCACTCTAATATATATTGTATTCTCTTTCAATGAAATTCAGAAATAAAATAACAAAATACAGTTTAGGAAAACACAAAGAGTATAGAATACCATTGTATACGCTGACGACCTTCTCTTGACTGTCTTTGACGTATAATAAATTCTAGACTAAAAAGATCACAATTTATTTAGAAATTGTATATGACCTATCAGAAAAGAATGACCGACATTTAATAAAATGAATAAATTATGCACAGTTGGAACTTTAGTAAAGTGCTCACCGTAAACGACTTATACCAGGAGAAAGATTTAAATGTTTTATCCTAATTTCTTCCCAGAAATTATTTCAGCTAGGGGGGGGGGGGATACGGTAAAAGAGTCAAACTTGGGCAACTCAACTCAAAAAGTTAGAACATACATACACCATGGAACAGGAGTAGACATCATGTGTCATATATATTACACGAGATATTGAGAATTTCATTCAAATTTATTTTTAATAAAAATAAAACTAAAATTGTCAAAATCCGAACAAATTTAATAATATTGATCTTCAGTGATTATTGTGAGCACAAGAAAGAAAGGACCCCTTTTTTGAAATGCCAAGACTAGGGTATTTTGCGAAACTAGAATTTTCCATCTAAAATTTGGTCTACGAATAGATGCCATAAATGTTTTCAAAGATCAAAGACGAAATTTAAGTCGTCTTCCAACTTTCATGTTTAAATGAAGAAGTAATACCAGTCAATAGAACATGAATTGTAAATAGTTTTACAATAGTTTTACTGAAAATCAGTAAAATGGCTGTACAATGTACATGTACATGTACCGTACTGTACAGCTTGGTAAATTTGAATTAAAAGTCTGCTCGGTACTTGAAATGAACCGGAGTATACAGTTGATTGATATTTTCAGGCAGAAAGGGATCGAAATTGTTCCGAACCTTTTTAACAGTGAGCTATTCATAAAAGATAAGGGTAAGTATAAATTATTACCATGATATAATTTAATGAATATTATAAAATATCAGCACTTTTGCAAATTAACTAAAATATTAAAATATCGTAATAAAAAATGGCAAATTAAAAAACAAAAAGTTAACCCCAAACTTTTTTATTATATTCCCAGATTGTAATATTAAGCAAAAGAATCTTTTATTTTGAATGAATCTATAGTCAAATCGTATAAGCAAACATTAAGAATTATCCAGCCTCCTTATTTTGAAGGTTACAACCATAGAGTAATAAAACGAAGAGGTGAAGCTTAGCTCAGATGTACACAACCGACCTGTCTATTAATTAATTAATATGTTTCCAAAACAAAGTTTATGATATTTAGGAATAAAAATATGCATTTTAATCCTGAGAACTGCAAATTAAAAATTGGAAATGAGATACTAGAAAGAATAGGAACTAACTGTACAAATAAATATTTCAAATTTGTTGGACTCAAAATTGATGAATTTTTAAATTGGGACTATCAAATTGAACATGTTTCCAATAAGATTGCTAGCTCAATTTTTGCTCTGAATCAGATTAAAAACNACTGTATACTCATCTTAGACTCAAGTACTTATCTTTCCATCAGGTTTATATTCTATATAATATATACTTGTACTGTATACTCATCTTAGACTCAAGTAGTTACCTTTCCATCAGGTTTATATTCTATATAATAAATACTTGTACTGTATACAGTATACTCATCTTAGACTCAAGCACTTACCCTTCCATCAGGTGGGATTATTTTCCAAAATTCTGAACATTTCCGCGATTAAATTTATTGATTCTATATTTTCGCAAATATTCAATACCCGCCCTGTTGCCAATTATCTATAATGATCGATGCCGCTGTTGAGTCCAAACTCGAATTCCGGAAATAGAATGTTTGATCACGTTCTGTAAATCTGACCTGATTGATGCCGCTGTTGAGTCCAAACTCGAATTCCGGAAATAGAATGTTTGATCACGTTCTGTAAATCTGACCGAATTATCTATAATGATTGATGCCGCTGTTGAGTCCAAACTTGAATTCCGGAAATAGAATGTTTGATCACGTTCTGTAAATCTGACCGAATGTTCTCTCATCTATGATTCAAGATAGAGCACATAAGTAATTCAGTAATTCAGTTCTTACATCAAAGTTAATCCGCAAAGAATCTGAAACAGAACCGACAGGGTTACTCACAAAGGATGAGACTATAAAGACGACCCAAAATTCTAAAAATATGACGATTCCCAGGAAAATTTTTACCGACTTAATGTGTTGATGGCGAAGTTTTTACTTTTTATGTTTGCCATCGGTTTGTCGGGGACTAAATGTTTGCAGGGTTTGAAGCTTGATTTTAAGTTTCTGCATTCAATTGAGTATTTTGATGGTTTACTAAATGATTAAGCACAGAAATACTTCAGTTTTGGCCTAGTGAAGGATCCCTGAATGCAAGAAAACAGACTAAAACAATTGACAAAGGTCTCATCCGTTGTGTGTAATCCTGTGTTTAGCTCGTTATAGAATGACTCAATAAGGTTGAATTTATTACTTTCCTTCCATTTTAGTTTGGTGGATTCTTCTTTTCTCTTCTTTGTCTTCCTAGTTATGAAAATGAATCTAACTTAAAACCGTATCTGCATGTTTAAGTTCGAATAGTTCATGGACATGTTTCTCATTTTATTGTTTGACTGCAGTTCCTTTATCATAGAATTTGTGTTCGTTAAAGCATTTGCAAAAGTAAAGATTCAAAATAAGTCCGCTAAAAAAGGAGAAAAAATGTACATTTTCTAAAAAAATATATTTTGAAAATGAACGTAAAATTTTTCTTTCCTAAATAAAATGTGAATGATGTACAGCATTGAAAATTGAAATCCACAGATACGCTCAAAATTTCAAAACTGTGTTCACTGTTGGGAAAAAATATTGATTACTGAATGTTTGAAAACAACATAAGTTCTTGCTTAATGAATTATTATTTCTTAAGTTTATTATTTCTGTTTAAGTTTATAATATCTTATAACAATACATCTTAATTGCTTTTGATAATTTATTTGGATCATTTTTAATGAAAAGATCCCAAATAAGTGAACGGTTTCTTTGAATATAAAAAATTTAGGTTACAAAAATATCTGTAGCTACTTCTATAACCTATGTTCTTGGTTGTGATGAAGCTCAAGCTAACTCCCTCAAAATAAAATATGACTGGCCATTTAAATCTGACACTTGTGAAGTAAAGCTTTATGATGGTAGTAAACATAAAACATATTTTGAAGGTGGTTTATCAGGTTAGCTCTTTTATAATATAAATAATAATAAAATCTGGTCGTAATGAGACTCTAACTCTAAACAAAGTTCTATGTGACCTTCCATGCAAAAATGGTAATAATACCCTACGTACAAGGGCACCTGGAACTCTTAATCTAATCAAAAATGTTGTTTTTATGGCTTAACAAGTTTTGAATTCTGAAAATTTGTCCTTTACTTCAAACACATGGATATTTCATTCTGTCTTATTTAATTAATTCAAACATACTCAATTCATCGGAAGAATTTATCAAATGTCGTCTTGACAATTTTTCAATGAGTTTTGTACTATATTATTTAAATTTCAGTATTTGCGAAAATAAATAAATAGCCATGAATATGCGGGAACAGTTTTAAAGAGTTCCATATAATCATTTAATTTAAAACTAAATATCTGCAACATTCCATTATTAGAAAGCGAAGAATACGACATTTGATGAATTCTTTCGATGTATTTGTTATTAAGGGTTTCACTGTAGTAAAACAGATGATTAATTTGAAGATATCTTGATTTTCCAAGATCTCCGTTTGATCAAAAGTCACAAAGATATATTTTAAAGACTGTTATGTCACACTGTAACTAATTTCTTTAAAAAAAATTTGATTTGTTCTGATTTCTTCGGATTTGAAATTGTTTCATTAAATTCTTTACGTTAAAATTTTTTGTTTTAAAGGGAGTGATCGGCTATGTAAGGTAGTTGAATTGAGTATGCAGTGTTGTGGAAAACTTCTTTCGGATTCATTTGAGACATATTAAACTTGTTTAAAGATTTGTAAATCCTGAGTTTGAGCGCAAATTCGATGTTCAAATCTTCTACTTTTGGGGTGGATACGTTTTCAGAATTAGTTTTTTTAAATCATTAAATAATTACGACATTGTAAAAAAGTTTTACAATAAACTACAGACGAACATGTTGGGAAAATAAAAATTAATCTTATCATCGAAATTAAGTAATCTTGTTAAATTATTAGTTTCTATTTTCTCAATATTCTGGTTTCTTATTATTCACAAAGATGTTCGCAGATTTTCTAGAATTATTGTTGAAAAGACGACATTTGAAGAATTTGAAGAAATCTGCAAATAAATTCAAAGAAAATAAGGAATTCAATATAATAATGAAAACAAAATAATCGATTTTAGCATTGATTTATTGACAAATTTCTTTTGAAAAATATGTTCCTAGCCATATAATTAGATTACTGTATAATTTTCACTTTATTTTTCGCTGTAGTTATTTAATAATTTAAAAAAAACTAATTCAGAAAACGTATCCACCCCCAAAGTAGGAGTTTTGAACGTCGAATTTGCGCTGAAACTCAGGATTTGCAGATCTTTAAAAAGTATAATATTTCTCAAATGAATCCAAAAGCAGTTTTCTAGAACACTGCATACTCAGTTCAACTACCTTACATAGCCGGTCACTCCCTTTATCTTTTGAATTAAATAATATTTAGCATGCCCTGAAGGTTGGAAAGACTATAAGGGTGAGAAATGCCTGAGGTTTAAAGAAGATGATATGCGTGAATGTTCGGAAGCTAACCATCAATGCTATATACACGGAGGATCAAGCTTAGTAATTATAGAGGATAGTGCTATGTTCGATTTCTTAAAAACTACAATGTCGCAAGGAAATATGTGGGTTTACACTGCAGCAAGAAGGGATGAGCTGGTCATTCTGATTTTCCCAAAATATAATTCCAATATTTGTTTACGAAACTCATGTCAAGTATAGAGAGTTTGGCTCAGCCACTCACTTTTTTCCTGGCAGATATCATATTGATATGAATATTTTATTCCTAGTAGTAGAGTATTTTAACCATATTCCTAATCAAATTGCACAAATTTTGCAACTAATATTGTTTTCACGGACGACTTCAAAGTGAAGTTGTACATTTTTAGTTTTTCATTAATTCAGAGTTAAATTGGCAAATTTTGAAAATATTTTTGCATATTTGAATTGGCTGGGTCAATGGCTTTAATAGTTCATCATATTTCAAGCGATTCTTTGTTAAAATTATTTGTTTAATAATGGAACTTTTGCAAGAATATTTTAGTATTTTGGGTAGACAAGATATCAGTAGGAAGAGGTTTAAGAAAAAAGACTTGTGCTCCGGCAAGGGAAGCACACAGAAATCTAAAGATTTATAATTAAATCTATAAATCTATGATTCTGATGACCAGTTCCGATCAGGAATAAGTCCAACATGTTTTTTTGGCAAACTTATCCAAGTTACAAGAGCCCTGACTTGACCTCTAAGAGAGGCGAATTCCCATGGGATTCTAATCAACCTAATGATAATGAGATTGAGATTTGTGCTGCTTATGGTGCATGGTGATTGTTTCTTATATTCCATACTAAGACTAAGACTTAAAGAAAGTGTTCGTTGAAAAATGAAAAGGAGCACAGGCTTGGGTTGAATTGAATTTGATGGTGATCAAATATAAATTCATAGAGTTGCATTATTACACTCAGATCCTGGATAATTTCCCCAGTACCAGTTTCCCCCCTTTCCCGCATTTTCCCCTTCCTAAAGGCCAAATAAGCCTTCCGACTTTATTACTAGAGATTTATCTCTGATTTTTTGCATGCAGACCTTAATTGTGATCCAGTTTTCGGACTTTTTTTAAAAAACTTTCATTGTTAATCTTTTTCAAATCGATCTTTTTGTTTTGTTTTTTTGGAAAAAAAATTATTATTTTTGAAAATAAACCACTTATTTTGAACTTTTAAAAGAAAAAAACGATCGTTTTTTTAAACAAATAAATATTGCTTTTAAAAAAATTTAGCTCTTGAATCTTAATTTGATGACAGGTAATTTTAATTTTTTTGTCGCGTAGATAAGTTTATGAATGTTCTCTTTAATATTTTTTTTATTAAGAGAAAGAACCTGAATGCTTTCTGACAGAAAAATGTATTTTGTCTTAACCCTATTCCTGCTGGGGGGGGGTGTGCTTTTTACCCTCCCCCTGTAGTTTTTTTTACATAACTCAAAAAGTATTGATCTGAGGCTGATGAAATTTTCTGACTTTTCCTACATACCCAAAGCCCTCCCTTTAGGCCTAAAACCGGACTTTAATACTAACTGCCTGAGTCTTCAGGCACACTGCCTGAATGACTGCTTTTTCCTGTAACAAACTAAATCTTTGTTTTGACCCACTTCCACTTGTCAGATTTTGATAAAATTTAGCTTTTTGGAAAGCCTTTGACATAAGGAAACGAATTGCACAAGTTTTGCGAGAAAAAATTGCATATTTTTTGCAAACAACCTGTCAAAGGAAATTTGCACATTTTTAGTTTTTCTTGATGAAAAATCAGGTTATTTAAAATTTTGCAAAAATTTTTGCATATTTGAAATGGCATGGTCAAGGGCTTTTCAAAAATGTATAATTTTTCATTTTTTGGACAAATTTTTTTGCAAACATTTTTACTATATAACTGGATTTTGCGATAAAAAATTCAATTTTTCCAAATTTGCTAATTTTTTTGCAGATTCTAAAAGTAGAGCACAAGAGCTTTCCAATGACGTATCATTTGTCATATTTGGACATCAAACATGGAATTTAGTATATCCTGGTTTTCAAGTACCCCAGCAGAGATAGGGTTAAGGTTGTTAATGATCGTTAACGAAAGGTTGTCTTTAAAAATCAAACTTTTCTAGAAACGATCGTTTTTAAAAAAACGATTGATTCACTTTTTGTTTTTTCTTCATCATTTTTACAGCGAAACGTTGTTTTTAAAAAAAGTGAAAACGTTCCAACCCTAATCATAGATGTAACAGATTGAAGTAAAGCTTAGAAGTGATCGATATCGAATACAATTCCACGTCAACCTTAACCTCTTTTCATTTTTCGCAAATTCTCCCATCAAGTCAAGTCCAAGGACTGGCAGTTGGTGATCACGTGACACTAGCTGTTGCCTATACTTGAGCTAGTTTTACCCGAATTCTTCCGAAATTTGTGTCACACATCTGGGAATATTTTCAGGAACTACAAAGAATTGCATGATATATCCTGCAACACACGTGCTGGCTACGTATGTGAGAAAAAAAGAGGTACTTCTTTTAAAAGGATGAACAATTAAACCGTTTTACAGTACAAGACAGTACATAGGGTAGTAGCGGTTCCAATTTTTGGGACAATTGTTGTGTTAGTTCTGCATTTTGAGAGCAAACTTTTTACTTGGCTCAAAATTCTGCATTTTTGTCATTCCTGGAAAAAGAAAAAAAAACGTGTGCAAATTCAACATTTAAATTCTATTCCGAGAAAAAATTTGCGTGAATTTCGATCAAACTTACGCGAAAAATTGCTTTTCAAAATTAAATGATGATGCGATAGTTTTTGAAAAAATATTACTAATAAGTGTGAGTGTTTTGACATTTCATTTCATTTTTTTTTCATTAAGAAAAGTTTATATGAATTTCGTCTCACAAGGTTTTTTTATCAAGAGAAATGACCTGAATGTTTTGAGCCCTTTATTTGAGACTTATTTTAGTCTGTATCATGAATTTGAATCCTGGAAGTATAGGACATAGATAGAAAAAAGTCTGATTTGATTTGGTTTGTTATTGGATATGGTAGGGAATAATAATTTCTGTCAACAACATGATTGGTGTTACAATAATCTATTCGTAAAGTAAGATTGTTGAGGAAGGGATGTCGTCAACAAATATACAATCATTATTATGAAGGGTTGTTGTTTTTGGTCAATAAGGGTCCTTAAAAACCATTAATACTTATAAAAATCGTCAAAAGTTAAAAACTACCTACTTTAGTTAATGAAACAACAAATTATAACTAAAACAGCGGCTTTTTTCAACTGTTTTGTTTTTCGCTTTTTCTAAATTGTTATCAAAACAAAATGGTCAAAAAAGATTTTTTTTTTATAAAGTGAAAATGATCCATCTCCAGAGATGGGCGCGTTCACCTTTTTTTCATTTCAGTTGTTCATTTTTCATGAACAAACCACTTTTTCCTATCGTTCAAAAAAAAATTTATTTATTTCATTCTCAAAATTAACATTCATTTTTCATCTATTTCTATCATCTTTTCATTGCAAGCGATTGTTCAATAAAATCTTTTGTTAAAAAAACTATTGTTTTTTTTTAAATCGCTAGATTTGTAAAAAAAATAGTTTTTAAACAATTTGTTCGAAAAAATTGTAGATGTTTCTCCGCCAAAATCTATTTTGCACTGAAAAACAAATGAAAATCTCTGGTTCAACCAAAAGAACAGATTCCAAGGGTGAATAGTAGACCATGCAAACATATTCACAAGACAGGATGACATATTTTTTTTCTTTATCTAAAGAAACGCACACTACATGCTGAACACTGTACTCTGTACACTATGTACACTACATGCTGTACACTTAACTCTGTACTATTAACCATTGAGTGATAAAACGAAGAGGTAAAGCTAACCTCAGATATACACAACCGACCTCCCTATCAATTAATTAATAGAGTGGTCGGTTGTGTACATCACAATTTGAGGATGTTGACTGCAAACATTTGACAATTTACAAATTTGTAGGTTTTCAATTTATTAGCTAAAAGTTCTGTCAAAAATATTAAGTTTCTATGGGCATGCTTTTAGCTTAAAACTTGAATAACATTCTTATTTTAAACATTTTTTTCTTTCTTCTCTTCAACTCTCCCTTAGTTGCGCCCCTGTTATTCTGTGAACAATCAAATTCATACTTTTACTGCAAGTACTGAAAAAAAAACACTGAATGGGTAGAAAACAAATGATAAACAAATGAACTGAAAAAAACGATGTGCACGCATCTTTAATTGCGACTTCTTTTTTTAAAATTATGTTAAATATAAAAACATTATAAATTAAACAATACAGTAAATTCAATTTTTATACTCACCTAAAGTTGAGAGCAATGGTGTTACATTTTTCTTCAACTTTGGTTTTTCCCCTGACTAATATCTCCTTCTTTAAAATGGTTTGAGCCAATACAACTTGAGGGATATATGGTGGAGTCTCCCAACTTTAAACTGTCTAGCCATGCACAATGTTTTGGTATTTTGAAAAAACTCACACTTTTACAAGAAGAATTGTTTGTGCACTTTTTCACAATGCAAAATTTGGTCATACTTTTATCAACATAAACAAACAACTAAACTAGAATGTACTGCAGTATACAATCCTGTGTTTACAATCCATATTAAGTGTCTTATCTAATTATCAATACTAAGTTTCAACTATCTACATTTTCCCACTGCGAAGAAATATAATCACACTCTTAACTTGAGAATGGTCTAGGTCTGGTTAAGGAAAGGGTCCTCTGAATGTTTCAGCCTGATTCATTGAAAACTTTAGGCATGACAATCAATACAATATAATGAAGTGCATAATTCTGGCAATTGCTTTGTATGCCGGTGTGTCACGAATTTTTCAAAGTTTGTAATCTCTATTTATCTATTTACTTATCCGATCAAAACTCAAGAACCCCTGGACTGATTTACATCAAATTTTTATTGGGGAATTCAGGAGACTCATGGGAATGTTCTTAGTTTGATTTTGAGATTCAAAATAATTTATTTGATTACTTAAAATTATATAACATGATCTATCAATAAATCAATCAATGTTTAAGCAATGTAGTCTACAGAGTACAGTGTACAGTGTGTAGAGTACAGTGTACAGCATGTAGTGTACGTAGAGTAAAGAGTACAGTGTACATCATGTAGTCTACAAAGTGTACAGAGTTTAGTTTTTTATCTTTATCAAAGTTTTAACAAAGTTTTATTTTTACATCGAAGCCTTCTCCAAAACTTCAGGGGTAAATACATTTTATTTGCTCCAGAAAGGGTTGTTTACATCTACTTTTAAATTCAATTGTACTGGTACAGGAACAGGAAATTAAGTAATAAGTTTATGAAATATGGAATATGATTTGGTTAATCTATATAATAAGAAACTTTGATTCAAATTTGTTGAGAACTTATCCTGGAGCTATAGAAAAAGAATACAGTTTACCAGAGGTATAGTTTTGTTTATAAACACAAGAAGAAGCCATTGCATTTGCATTTGCATTAAACACTGAGCCAAATCTATGCATGCAACTGAAAAATTAAGTTTTTTTCGACTTTAAACGTTAATAGATGACTATTAATTTCAGTGATGGTGATGTACTAAACCTAGGGGGCGGACATAGTAATCTAGCCTAGATGGCTGTGGCTTGTGATGTGTATACAATTAACATTGTTCAATAATTCACCCTTCTAGTTCACTGAGTTCACTTGGTATCATTGAGTACACAGGGTTTTTGGCATTGAATTCTGTATAGTAAAATTTAAGAATTTTTAAATCATCTCAAATGAATATTTTTTTTTGCTTTGCATTAATTTTTTCTATTCATTTTTATTCTGAGTAGTAAGAATTTCTATTTGTAACTTTTTTAAATTAATGGAATTTTCTAGACAACATTCCTGATGAACCGAACTGAATGTAGTTCATAATTCTGCCACAAGAGTTCACACTAAATCTATTAAACATTCTTGTTTTTACTCTTAAAATAGTAATACTGAACCACTCATAAAAAAATGTTTGCTACAGTTTGAAAATTGTTAAGTTATCTTTTCAACTTTTATGAAAAAAATTAAATTTCATTTTAAATCCTACATTTCTTCCTAACTTCAAATATTTTTTAAGATTAAATTCAATTTAGTAACTGTTCAGGAAAGTCAAATATTTCATGCCTAATAAAACAAAGACCTCAAAGGCAATGTGCCACTTTAGGTTATCTAAACCTAAATTCTACACTACTTCAACTTTTTAATTCTGAATTATATAACCCCCAGGGATTAATTGTACAGAGTTCAGTGGCTCTCTAACAGACAGATTTTTCTTGCAATTGTCAATTCTAACGATGTAATAACCATCAAAATCGATGATAAAAACCACAAGAAAATAAACGAACAAAAAAATTTATTTAAATTTTTTTTAAATGGGCTGTCAAATGGACAACTGGGAAAAAAAACTAAGATCATGAGATGGAAAAAAGATAATTTGCAAATATTCCTTGAGATTGTTTCTGTCATGAAGATTAAAAACAAACTGTTTAGTTAATATGTATAGTGTTTGAAGTGGTGATGGGGTCGATCTAATTAACAAACTTTTACGTAAATCGGGGGGGGGGGGGGGGGGGGGCTGCTTGTCTAAGGAGGGGTATTTAAACCAATTTTTCTTGTTCAATTTTCTTCTTTCTTCTTGTTTCTTGTTTCTACGTTTTAAAGTCTCTCCTCCAGGCTCCAGCCTACCCTATGCATCATAAACAATTTTGTATGCAAATTTGGTAAAATTTTGTAATCTGTTTTTAGGTCTTAAGAAACCTCCCTACCCAGCAATAGTGTTAACATTAAACCCTTGAAATACTGACATCATTCCTAAAAATTATCTGTGACCTTTAAGTTTTGTTGAATATTTTGCACAATTTTTTTTAAATACAATTAGAGAATTTTCACATTTTCATCTTTCCTTTAATATACACCAAGGTTTTGAAAATTTTGCAAATGTTGTGCATATTCAAATTTACTGAGACTGTAGCCAGCTAGCTTGAATTAACAGCAAAAAAAAGCTTAGAAAACTGAAATATTGAAGAAATATTAGATATCAAAATATTTAATGACTATCTCATGTTCTATGATGAAATCACAAGCAATCTTGAGCTCGATATTATCTTTTATTTTTAAATCTTTCAAAAAACATTAAGAGCAATGGACCAGGTACTCTTTGTGTACTGACAGCTTGCTCTGGCTCCTTAAAAGTCAGTACTGTACTTGAAATTAGCCGAAGTTGATCAGGAAAAATTTTGTGCTGTCTAGATGGTTTTAGCATTCGATGCACCTTAACCAGATTTCAAATCTATCAAGGCATGATGATACACTCTTTCTATTATTGCTATTTTGTTTATTTTACCATGAGGTTTTCAGATTTCGTAAATTTTAGGAAGAGCTGATTTCAAATTAAGTAAATTCAACTTCTTCTGAATTTGTATTTGATTTTATTGAAGGTGCAAGCATAGACAAATAAAGGAAAATATATTCAAACATGTTGCTCTCTTACAGACCTTGTATACTCCCAGGAAACACTAAATTATTTTCATTTTATGATGACTGGACTGGACTGGACACAATGATACAAGATCCTGCCATTTGATTCAGCTGATAGGGACCTAAGATAGTAAAAAAGGGTTTAGGTTCACACAGGGCAGTGTGAGGTCAAAACTGTAAACATTGAAATTAGAAAATTTATATAAAAAATGTCAAAACACATCTCAACAGATAATGATATATTTTTATATTGCAGATTTGGCAGGCCTTGGAGGTCAAGTGGAAGGAGAAAAAACTGAGTATGCTGTTAATTGTAGTAGACAATCATATGGTCATACTTTTGTATTTTCCTCTAAATTGTACCTGGCAGATTTGGATTTAACCCAAGAATATCTTGATTCATTTAGACCAAAGGCATATTTGAAAACTTGGATAAGGTAAAGAATGTATTTTTCATATGTATGTTCTAAAGTGTATAGTAATTTTTACTGAATAAAATTGATTTATAACATAAATCTTTGTAGAATCAAAAAACCTTCTCAAAAGTATACTAATATCTTAGAGCAGAGAAATCCTATTAACACCTTCTAATTATTTAGGTTTATGAAATTAAATGACAATGATAATGACCCTCAAGGCTCACTGACTGTCACAGGCCGGGTTGGTGAACACAATGCCAGTATAATAATAAACAAAGCCAAGAAATCAGAAAGCTATGCTCTTATCATTCCAATTCTGGATCTAGCTATATACCCAGAACAAAATATATCCATTGAAGCAGAAACAAAAAAAAATGGTTTAATTCTGATATCCCCCCCAAAGATTATAGTGGACCGTCCTGTCTATATTGGATGCTTCTTATCATTCAGCAGTTCTGATCTTATCCCAGAGCTTAGTCAAACTTTTTCTCATCTTGACTGTTTAGTGCTCTGCAATAACCAATCCAAAAGATTTGTACTTTTACAAGAAACAGATTGCTACTGTCACTCAGATGATTCATATTATCAACTTTTTAAGTCTGGTTCTCTAGTTCCATCTGCTCAATGCAACATCACCTGTGAATCCCATCCACATAGTTACTGTGGAGGTGTGGATAGATATTCTGTATATGTGACAGGTAAACACTGAATAGTTACTGTTGAGGCGTGGATAGATATTCTGTATATGTGGCAGGTAAATAGTAAATAGTGGATGTATGGATAGATATTCTGTTTATGTGGCAGGTAATCATTGAATAGTTACTTTGAGGGGTGAGAATAAATATTCTGTATATGGGGCAGTTTAACACTTTAAGCGCTCCTTCCAGCCAGATATCAAAATATTTAAAGAACTAATATTTTACTGTGTTATTAAATCTTTGTTTTAAAGAAATGGAACCTTGCAAGTAGGAATGTTAACTTTTCTTTCTTTTTTTTAAACGATCGTTTAGTTATGAAAACAATGACAAAAACGGTCGTTTAAAAACCTATCATTTTGCAAATATTAAGCTTGCTGTTTTGTTAATGATCATTAACAACCTCCCTTTGTTAAGGATCATTAAAGATGTCCCTTCATTATCGGTTGTTAACAATCGATAATGACAACTAACAATCTTTAACAAAGAGGAAGGAGAGAGGAAACTGCCCTGAAGGGCATCCATACTTATCTCATTAAGCAGTTTTAAAAACCATCGTAGTGTGTCGTTCTTAAAAATGATCATTTTTTCTGAAAACAAAACAATGGTTTTTTTAAATGATAATAAAACTGAACAGAAAATGATTAACAACCCTACTTGCAGGATATTTAAATTTTTCAATTGTTTAAAATAATCTTTATTGATTAATCTACTTTAAGTAATTTTACCTTAAAAATATCCTATTTTACAGAATGTGAGGAAGGATTTAAAAGATATGATTCAAGCTGTTTTACCTACAAGAGTGTCATCAAAGAGTACTATTGGCTGCACCAGGCAAAATGCAACCAGCTAGGGGCTTCATTATGGGCTCCAAGAAAAGTTGGAGATATGGAAATGATACAAGATATTTTCAAGTAAGAATCTCGAAAGCAACTTGCACACTTCATTTCTAAGCCTTAAAGCCTATAAAAGGATTTGTAGTCCTTTTTTTTAAATGTTAAAACTTTCTCCAGTATCTGGAAAAAAATTAAAAATTTCTCTTAAAATGTCAAGATGAAGACAAGCAACAAAGAGTAATACAGTGCAATTGTAAAGTTACTAATTCTAACTTACTGTCAGATAGAAATAATTATTAAATGCACCATGTCATTTGGAATTTTCTATCTAGAATTGAGGAAGAACATCTTGTGGGAGTTAGAAGCAAATTCTCCAATGATGAATTGGAGTTTTTTGACTTTTCAAGGGAGCCTGGCTCCTATCCGACTTATTGTAAGTTTACATATATTTTATTATATAGAAATAATGATAAAATTCTGATTTACATTACAGACTCCTCTGGTGAATGGAACGATTTTGATCAAGAAGAAGATCCTGTTAAAGACTTTACAGTTGGTATGCTAAAAACATGGTCATACTCAAAATATTGTTAAAATAAATTGAGGAATTTTGAATTTTTATCCACAAGGTTTTTGTTTTCTCTTTTCTAATAAAAATTTGACCATTTAGTGGATTTAAAAAAAATGTCAACATCTTCTTTTCAGAAAAAATTTGTCAAAAAGTCATGTATTTTTGCATTACCTTTAACTGTAATGTTGTCTTTTAATCTTTTGTGCTATTTTATCAAAAGTATAGTTTTGAATTTTTTATCTAAATAACAAGATAATTTAATTATGTTAATAGGTGTCAACGGTGTTTTGTTACTCTTAAACAGGAAATTAACTGTAGACATTAATAGAAAAGCTAGAGGAATTTGTGTAAAACCCATTGGTAATATATTATTATCTAAAGTTTCATAATATTAATGTAGTTTTTATTGATTCTGTTTAGATGAAAAACAAGGAAACTTAAACTTGTTTAAAGATGGTGGACTTAAATACAAGATCATAGGAGATGAAGTTGAGAGCATAGATAAAACTAATTCTATTTCTGATATATATCCAGGAATACCCTTGACAATTCAATGCACAAAGTAGGTCTTATATTTTGAAAAATAAAGGTAAAAACCAACCTTTAATACAAGCATTACTTTAGAAAATTCTAGCTTTTTAAACTTTATATATTATTTAAGGGGTTCTCATGAGACTTGGTTTGAAATATTCCTTGATCAAATGGTAATGATTGATTCTGTTCACATTATTCTGAACAATCAAATGCTTGTTAGAAATTTAATTTTGGAAACCTCATCAAAATTATGGATGTCTATCACAAATATTGAGTTAAGAAATGGCGAGAAATATTCAATGAAGCGGTTATTGGACCAGCCAATTGTAATTAACAGGTAAGCATTCCAAAGTAGAAAGGTTTTTAGCAAATTTTCTCACTATTTTCTATTTTTTTTGTATAGATTGAGGATTAAAATGGAAAATTCAGCACCTATTTTTGAAATGAACTTAGAGTTATTTGGCAAAATGGCATCAGAGTTGGTACCTTCTGGGTTCCTTTCTTATGGACAACTGAAAACAAAATGTAAATATGAAAAATCTGATTTCTTGTTTGATATAAAAAATTAAAATAAATTTCAATTGTAGATAATGTAGAGCTAAATATATTAATCTAAGTAACTATGATTGGTTGTCAAAAATATATATTCAGCAACTTTCTTGAGATCTTAGGTCGTTTTTGAGAATCAGTTAAAGAAAATGTGAAGCTTATTTTGTAAAAATAGCCTTCAAAATATGCATATTGTTGTTGTTATAAAGCAAATAGTTTTACCAGTATCTTGAAAATTAATTAATTAAGTGAAATTACTCCGCAAATTTGCTGGGCTTCATTTTCAGTAAAATTTCTTATTTCACAGTTTAAAGATTTAACTGTATGTGAAAATAACATTTACAGATTCTGCATTGAAAGATTACCAAAGGAGTATTGATGTACAAGGCTATGTTTGTCCGCTGGGAGGATTAAGATTTACTGGATCTTTCCTAAATGAGATAAAAAATGAGGCTGCAGGTATTAATTTCAACCATTTTTATAGTTTTGAGATAATAGACAAGTAATCTTAATTGTATTATATCTAACTTATTACTAATGATTTTCTTAATTCATAATACATTGAACAGAACAATTTTTTTTAGTGTTAAATTTGACTTTTATGTCAAATTCTGCTGAAAAGTATGAGCTGAACATTACGGTTGGACTGACATATTTGAAAATTTACTATGAGAACTCTTCATATGAAGAATATTTCAACTCAACTGAGCTTTTTGAACAAAAACTTTTGGATATATACATCACATGCCCTAATGAAAATTATCAGGTATTAGAATTAATCAAGATTATTCAGGAATACTTCTTAACTTTGTAATATCTAAGGTTTACATTAACAATCATCTGAAGCTTGTGACTATTCTTACAGCAATAAACATTGGTTCTGTTCATATTAAATCCAACTTGCTGAATGTAACAATGGAAGAAGTTTCGATTTCAAAAGAAAATCCAATGCTTGATATATGTCTAGCTGGTAATATTTTATTAATGCATACAATTTTAAATAGAGCTATGTCTTTTAGTAATTCTTTTACTCTGTTTGATCTAAAAATGTTAAAATAATGATAAGTTTAAGTGATAACAGATAACAGTTTCCCATATCTGTCTTCAGAATTTTACATTAATTTTAAAAAACAATGTTAATTAAGGAAATCCTTGACCATCCTCATTACCATCTAATACAAGTTTTTGGACTAAAAACCTAAAAAATACATATTCTAGTTTGTTTACATACTTTTGACCACCCTTATCAATTTTTTGTTTATAATATATTAGATATGAACTGTACAACAAGAGTGCTAAATGATCATGGAAAGGTTATAAGAATATATTCAAGCAAAGAAGAGGTTAGTCTATTTATTCAATTGTAAACATGGAAAAGAAAAATTCTCAAATTTTTAATAGTATTGAAAACTTTAGGTACAATACCAGACTGGGGAAATAGTGTGGGCTTGTCATAGAACTCCTTCATATAATTCATTGTGCAACATACAGCATTTTAAATGGTAAATCAAACAAATTTAACAGTTCAGTCCTGTTTCCCAGAGAACTTATGACTTTGAAACACAATTTGACCTCTTAAACATATTTTTTCTCTTTTTCTCTTACATACTTTTGTGTTGGCAAATGCGTTTTAAAAGAAACTGAATTCTGGGGTGAAATAATAAATTATATTATTTGAAAAACTTAATATTTTTTATGTCTATTTTAGGGAGATTAGTAAGAGAGGTGGTTTTTCGGACTTGGCATGTCCTACTGAAGAGAAAAATATTGGCTTAGGTAAACAATGTTTAAAACTGGCAACAAGTGCTTCATCTTTCAACCAAGCAGAGGTGTCCTGTTTAAACCACTCAGGATTTGTTCAACCCCCCGTAGATTTCTACCAAAACTCAATCTTAAGGTGAATTATTTTTTTTAATTATTACTTTTGTTTTAATGATTATCAATACATGATTGTACAGTGTTTATGCCATCGAGCAAAATATTGGATCATATTGGATTGGCATAAAAAGAACAAATGGAGTATGGATAAAGACTGATGGTAGGAAACTAGAAGATACAGAACTAAATTTAGAAGATATTGAAGAAACAGGAAACTGCATGATTGCAGACAGTAAGAATGGTTTTATACCTAAAATTGTCTCTTGTAATGAAGAATATAAGGTAAAGTATGCTGTAAAGACGCATAACTCTGTATTTAATAAAATTTTTCTCAGTATTTTTGTACGGTTGGACCAAACTGTCCTTCAGGATACACCTGGGTTCCAGGTTTGGGTAGAACTTGTCTTAAAGTTGGAAATGTAGTTGGAGGAAACAATTTATTTGCTGATGTACATTCAGGTTAAAATTATATATGATGACGATAGTTCAAGTTCAAAGGAACTGAGTTTTTGACACTAAAAACTAAAAATACAATTCCTATATCTTTTCCACCTAATGGTTCAAACCTTTGATATTTCAAACTTGGATTATTTGATCTGACTTAAATCATAGCTTGAAATATTAAAGGTCTAAAATAATGTGCTTTAAATCAGAGTTTGTGGCAAACACTCAATTCTTTTCATAATTAATCAAGCTTTTGCCTTAAATTTTGAAGAAGAACTTGAAAGTTTGTTTTCATAAAAGGATTCAGTCTTTGCTACAACTCAATTTTTCTAGTATCTGTATCATTACAGCCAGTTGAAGTAAACCTTTGATATTTTGAACTTAAATCATTTAATCTATCATATAATCCATGACATTGGTTTGCAAAGATAAAGGGGTAAAAAAATAAGGTTTGTGGCAATTAAAGACTCAATTCCTTTGTAACTAATTACAAACAGTTATAAAAATAATAAACCTTTACTCTCTGAAGGAGAGGCCTATTGTGCAAAAGACGGAATGAGTTTATTTGTTCCTACAACACAAGAAGAAGTGAACAGCCTGGTAGCTTGGTTTAAATCTCAAATATCACGACCTAATCTTGAAGCTTTCCTAGGTACATACAATGTATACAAGACAAGACAATTATAAAACAAGTGTAGTAGAAAATTGTAGCATGTTATAACCATTTCCCATAACTTATAGGTTGGAGAAAATCTACAATTAATGGAAAACAAATGTATATTTCTCACTTTTCAAATCAAACCTTTTCATCTCTTGAGTTTGAGAGTAAATTAGGATTAACTCATCAAACAACCACCAATCAGAATTGTCTTAAAGTTGGTCAAGAACTCCAAATGACTAACTGTTTGAATAATGAAGGTAATCTGAGAGGTGTCTGTCAATACAAAGAGTGTATTACTACTCAGTCAATACCCTGTTCCTTCCCTTTTAAATATAAGGGAAGAATGTATGATTCCTGCATAACCATTGATAGTACTGAACCTTGGTGCAGTCTTAAAACAGACATTGTTAGAAATCATATTGAAAATGTGAATACCAAAGGAACCTGTTCCAGCAGCTGCAACATACAAAATTGTCCAGTTGGTTTCTTTAAACATGACACAACTTGTCTCAGGATATCAGCACAGACAGATCATGATTCATGGATTTCAACAGAGCAAGCTGAAGAACAATGTATAAAAGAAGGGGCGAGATTGTACCAGCCAAGAGATATTAAATCTTTTAAAAGCCTACTTTTAAGTGAATTTGAACATTTGCAACCAAATCAATCTCATTTCAAGTATAGGAATAAAGAATCATTTATTGCTCTTGGAGCAAAAACAGCAAGTACAAATACTTCTCTGATCGTTTATCTTGATAGAAGTAGAGCATACATGTTAGAATCAATAATGAATGCTGAAGGAAATAGCCTAAATTCTAATAATGAAGATAAATGCATTATGCTGGACAAGAAAGGAAAATTAGCTTTGGCAAATTGTGAAAACTACTATGATGGTTTATCTGGTAACCAGGCCCAGTTAGGATACATTTGTGAAGCTAATCATTTTGTTACAAAGGGTGGTAGTGATCCTGGTGAAGCATGTGTGTTTCCATTCAGAGAATCAGTTGATAGTCAACTTCAAACTTCTTGTGTATATGATGATGTGAAGGGACCTTGGTGTGCAACAGCAGTAGATGATCAAAAGGTTGTTCAGGAAAATAAATGGGGTCTCTGTATGGATGAAAGAAAAATTGCATACAATGGCACTGGGTCGGGGAAAGAATGCATTATTCCATTTATATACAATGGGGTTTGGAAGGAATCCTGCCTTTATCAATCAAGAAATGAATATTGGTGCCCAACATTAATTAATCCTAACAGAACATATATGGAAGGACAAGAACTGGGTTTCTGTACAGATTATCTTATTTCAAAGAATACTGAGTGTCCTGAGAGCTATGAAAAGGTTGGAATAACTTGTGTAAGAGTTTCTCCTATTTCTGAAACATTCAAGGGTGCCACTGCAAAATGTACCTTGGAAGGGGGAAACCTCATCTCTATACACAATGTAATGTTTCACATGGACCTTAATCAATACATTCATAATATCAGTTTATCGAAGTATTACTTTAACATCACAACAGATAAAATTACGGATTTCTGGATCGGAGGAACTGTCATAAAAAATATGTGGACTTGGGTTTCTAATGAACAAAATATTACAGAGAACTGGACTAACAACACTTTGAACACTGGATGTCTTAGCTTGCAATGTACAGATGAGTATGGATTGACTATGAATGTCAAAGAAGAATATAAATGGAAAGCAGACCACAAGAAAATTTCAAAACCATATATTTGTGAATCTAAATGTAGGCCAGGGTACAGGTGGGGTCAAAGATCAAACAAGTGTCTTATAGCATCAAGTAGTAGTCTACAAGGTGTGTCCAATGTAAAATCAATGCTGTCTTGTGCTCTGGAGAATTCAAGATTAGTCAGTGTTTCTAACTGTCAAGAGGTCAAGAATCTTACTCAAGATATTTGGGAGTTGTTCCCAACAGCTGACAATGAGCAATGGATTGGGTATTTTTCTGGAGATTTTCAATATTATAACATGAGGAGAATAAGTAAATCTGATGATAACTCAGTGACAGCAATTAACTCAAAAGGCCTTGCTCTAACGAAATGTAACTTTGGAGCAAACAATACTGCTGGATATGTTAAAAAGGGAGTCGTTACAATATTTTCAGAAAACTTTTCTGAACTAGAAAGTCTTAAGGGGTTTGTTTGTGAAGAAGAAAATGATTGGATGTGTCCTGATGGGTACACTTTGTTCCAAGAGGAATGCTACAAGTTTGTAAATAATTCAAATATATTTACCAATGCTCTCATGCATTGTATGGATACTGGTGGACATTTAGCTGAACCACAGCATATGCTCCATGTCAACTTCATTCAAGCTTTTATAAACTACAATGTAGGAGAAGACACACATGTTTGGACAGGATACCGAAGAAGTATATTCGATATCTCAGAAGACAATCCATTCACTACTTCTGAATTCAACCAAAACCTATTTCCAACAGATGAACATATTCCCATAGACACAGGTATATAGAATAAATTGATTGCAAATTGATTACTTTGATTTAAATCAATATTTGGTATATTTTAGGATACCACAGAAGTATATTCAATATCTCGGAAGATAATTCATTCACTACTTCTGAATTCAACCAAAACCTATTTGATGAATACATTCCCATTAACTTAGGTATTTAGAATAAATTGATTGCAAATTGATTACTTTGATTCAAAATGATATTTGGTATATTTTAGGTTCAGGAAATTGCTTGGGAATCAAAGAAAACATATTTTCTTGGTTAGATTGTTTATCGCTTCATCCATACATTTGTCAAACTCAACAAACTGCAAATACGGAAAAAATAAGAAATATTCCACAACCTACATTAGTTCTCCCATTAGACAACACACCCAAAGAAAATCAAACCAACTATTTGATCAATTATTATAAACAAATGATTCCACACAACAGATTAAGCAGTTCTGCTTATTTCCTGGGTGCAAATGGTTCCTTTATAGATGTTAAAATAGATCAAGAAATAAACTTAATATCTGGAACTACTATTTCCATGTGGATGAAAGCAAATAAAATATCTGATGGTGACACAGTACTTGCTGATTTTAGAAAGACAAATACAACAAACATTTTAACTATTTTCATAACCTCAAAATATCTGAAAATCAAAATGTGTAAAATTTCTTGTATAACCCAACAGACTCTCTTGAAAATTCCAGAAGAAATCTGGACTTTCTTGGCAATAACTATAAAGAGTTTTGAGGGGAAAGTGTATATCAATGAAATATCTAAAACTATACAATTTTCTGATACTGACAAGCCAATATGGGAATCTAAGAATTTCTTGACAATTGGATCTGAAAAAACTGGTGGAAAAATTGGGCAAAACAATTTCCATGGAAAAATGTCATGTTTTCAGATATTTCCAAAATACCTCTCTTCAGCACAGATTCACCATATAATGAAAACCTGTAATCTAGAAAAAGATTATCCACAATCAGAGCTTTGTCCCACAGGATTCTTTCCATTAAAAGAGTCTTGCTATCAGTTATCCACCAATCCAACAAACTACTCAATGGCTGAGCTGACCTGTTTAAATCAGACTTCACCACTCAAACTTGCTTTTCCACATAATTTTCAGCTACAGGAGATTCTCTTCATGTTTGCGCAACAGTCCAACATATCTGATATTTGGATTGGATTAGACTCAACGTCAGGTAAATTCATTTTAATAATAATAATTCATTTTTATCTTGTAATATTTAGCTGATCCTGCTGGAAAAACATGGATAGATAGTGAAGGTTCTAAAGTGGAGAATATTAATTGGATTGCTGGAGGCCCTGTAGAGAACACCAACCATTACTGTGCTTCCATGCAATATTTAGATAATATGTAATATCAATTTTTAATATGTCACCATATATATCCAATGATTAAAATGTTTATTTAGGAAAGTTCGCAATGACGATTGTAGCAAAGACAAGCATTTTTTCTGCTCTACTCCACAACAGCGTATTCAAGAGTGCCCAAAAAGCTATTTTAGATATAAGAACATGTGTCTGCTCAAAGTAAATACACCCAGAACATTGACAGAGAGTAAACTCCACTGTTCTGGAATTGAAAGTATTGTATTACCAGTAAAAAGCCAAGGATTGTATGAATTTATCAAATTATATTCACAATTTGATGATGGTGGCAGTATATTGCTTGGCATGAATAAAACGGATGGTGTTATAGAGTTTACAGATCATACTGAGCTTGATGTCAGTAAATTAGATAATGATTTCTTTATTTTTGATGTTGAAGAGTGTGTTATCCTGGATAATAATAATGGATATAATTTAAAAGGAGTTCAGTGTAATGAAACACATGAATACTATTGTTTGTGGCAAAGTAAGTTTTAGTCTTAGAAGAATATTATTTCTTGAAATAGCAAAGCATAATTTTTAATCTAGAACCAGCATGTCCTGGTGGATTTTACAGTCACTTCTCAACATCCAATGGTACAGCATGTTTCTCTGTTTCTGAAGGTATAATAGGGAAACAAATTTTCTTGTCTAAATTAAAAAATTTACTGCATCAAATTAAAGTTTATTAGTTTTGAATTCAATTTACATATTAAGTCATGATTCTAGATCAATTAACAATCTTCTCTTTTCATTTCTTTACTGACCACTAAATAAAAAATTTTTGCACCTCATTTAACAGATCAAATCATGAAAAGCATGAATTTATCATAGATGTTGCTGCATTTGGATCAATTCAACAATGTATAAATTCTTCATTTATTGCATCTCAAGCAACACTTCCAGAATTTGATCTGGATTTCTTAGACAAAGTCCTAGATGATACTAAGTAAGTTGTTATTTGTCTTTTTTAAAAGTTCTTAGTATAATTAATTGTCAACATAATTGTAAAACTAGATTTGTCTGGGTTAATGGTTCTGGGAAAAATACTTGTGTTGACAAGGTGAGTCACAATGCAATTAGTAAAGAGTTTTTTAAATTTATTTTTGTTAAGGGGTGGGGGGCACAAGCTCATACATGCAAATAAAATGATATATTAATAAATCTATTTCCAGTTTATTATCAAGGTTTTTCTATTATTTGTTTTGCTCAAGATCGATTAAAAGTCATGAACCCCAATGTTTTGTTTTGTGCTATTGTCTTAAAAACTTTACCATGGGTAACCCTTAAAAATCATAATTAATTTATGTGGGCTAAAAATTTATTTATATGTTTATGATTTTGTTTATAGAAATGTGATACACTTACTAAAACTGGACTTTCCCTAAAGCTAACTGGTAAAGATAAAGAACATGCTCTCTGTGAACATGAATTGTGTATAGCACAAGATGGATATCAATGCATATTTCCATTTATATACAAGGATGTTGAGTACTATAATTGCACTACTCAGGATATTTATCATCCATGGTGTCCAACAGGTAGTATTTTCAGAGGAAATTCTACAAAAATTATGTTTAACAAAGATAAGATAAAAGGGACTCTTTGAACACCTTCAACAAATTAACCTTCTGTTTTAAGATTGGCATCATCATTTCACAGCACTAAGATATTTGCTCTAATTCCATTTGATCTATGGCCATTTGCACTAGTTCTATTTGCTCTACTAACCAATTGCTCTTTAACTCTTGAGATAATAAGGTTTGCTCTACATGCCATCTGCTCTATACGTTATTTGATCTATGCCTAAACCTGTCATTTGCTCAATAATTAATATGTATGACTGTCTGGGTCCATGTGCTCTATGTATATTACAATTATATTACTATTTCTTCTGTTAAAAATTCTGTGTTTCTTAAATTAGTTTTCACTGCAGGTTTGTCATGTCCTTCTTATTAATAAGCAGTTTTGCCATCTTGATCACCTTGGGACAACTTATTTAAATTGCAAAATTTTTATATTTGCAAATTTCCAAAAAAAATAATCCTGCAATTCAATAACTGCCATGAATTAAATGCTAAGTTTATGATTTTCTACTCCATGATTCAATAGTTAATATATCTTTTAACTGTGCTTTTGACCAAGTTTTGCTCCGCAATACATAAAAAATCTCTTCTGTGATTTTTACGAAGTGGAAGGACTAGTGATTTAGAACTAAACATTTCCGTTCTTACATAAGAATTTTTACCACCATAGTTTATGTAGTATATCATGTACTGGATGAAAAAATAAATCATCCCACATGTTAAACCTCCTTTTATGATAAAAATATTAACAAAGAAGTCTGCTTTTGGGCGGCAAATATACAGTGCAAGAATTCCTTTTAAGTCTATTTTATAGTGTCTTTTAAAGTTGTAGAGCAAATGATTTGTATAGTACAAATGACATATATAACAGATGGCACTTGTTAGCAAGCTGTTTAATATTTCAGGAATATTAATACTTACTTTCTAGAAGTGGCAGAATAGAAATGGTCACATTCAAAGTTTTGAAAACCTGAGTTTCCATTTAAAATTCCAGATTTTCAGGAATGAAGAACATATCTTTGATCACTCCAATATTCTCTACTTCAGTTTAACTTGTACAAATGGTTCATGGAATTCCAGCAATTTTTTCAACACTTCTAAGTTTTGTACTCGTAAGTATTTAATTTGGTTTGTGTTTCTCAAAATTATTTTTCTACAATCTACTTTATTTAAGCTGTAAAGTGCCTGGAAGATAATCTACCATACCCACCATTAACTTCAAATATATCTATATCTGATCTAGAAGATAAAAAGACAGAAAATTCACAAAACTGGAACTCTTGTAAACAGAATGTTTCCTATTTCTGTCCAGATAATTATATTCCGTATTATCAAGGTCAATATTTAGATATTGAACCTAGTTTCCAGGTTTACTGTGACATTGATGCACACTGGAGGATATCATCTAAGAGTTACCAGGTCTATATGAATAGTAAAATGGAATTTAACAGCTATGTTACTTAATGATATATTTTTTATTTACAGTAAAAAATGTTATCTTTTTTGTTTGTTGTATATATTAATTTAATTCTTTTATAATCATCCCATTGTGGAATTAAAAGTAATGTACTCCCTATGCAAGACTGCAGATAATCTGAACGCTTCCAACTCTGAGTACGGAAGTTCTGTTAGTTCTACATTGTCAGTTAACAACAACAGCACAATTATTGAACCTTCTGTTTTTGCTTGCATTCGTAAGTATCCTCCTAATTTAAAATTTTTAATGTTAAATGACATATTTAGAAAGAAAAAACTGTTGAAATATATAAATGAAATGTTTAGATCAAAATTGTAGAGAGCCCCCACCATATAGCACAGGAGACAACAATACTGGAACAATGGATTGGATAGAGGTTCCAGGAATAACTGGTCAATTTGCTACTCTTGTCCGATATTCATGCATGAACAGCAGTTGGGGTTATCCTTCCACTGGACTGAATGAAACTTGGGCAATGTGTAGTGATTATGGGGATTGGAACATTACACAAGTAGAAAACTGTACAGGTACTGAAAAAAGTAATTACAGATTGATCATCAACAATAAATTGTACTATTGTGATAGAGCTAAGATGTCCAATGCAACCTCCTGAAGCCCATATTGGTGGTGAAAGATTATATGGAGTGGATGAAACCAGGAAATGTTTTTAAATTGAATTAACATAGATTATTGTTTACATCAAGCATTGATATGAAGTTAGGCTTTCCTGTGTTTCCAGTTTTACAAATGGGCTTGTTTTAAGCTGATTAAGAAATAATTGTATTAACATTGCATTATAAAAACTGATTCGAATAGAATCAATTGATCAAAAGTAAAATATGTTTAACAATGATTCTCTATGTGCCTTGACACTGACTTTAGATTCACATAAAAAACTTTGCTTTAGGTACACATGCCCTGGAGATTTAATGTTCAAATCTGGAAATTATCCATACTGGTATAACAAATGTCAACATAATGGACAATGGAGTAGAATTGATACAGCACTAGAATGTGAAGGTAGGACATTTTAGTGTAAATTCCTCTTTCATGGGTTTGTATTGCTTCACAAAAGAATTTTTTGTTTAGAAATCCATTGTAAACTGGCCCCACCAGGCCCTCACCGTGGCATGAAATTAGTATGGCCTGGGAAAGGAAATAAACTTAATGATACAGTAACCTATAAATGTCCTGATGGAGGATTTATAAACCAACCTGATAATGTTCAAACATCTAGCTCTTCAAGTTGGGATACTGATATTATTACAGGTATTAATATGATGCAGTTAATTAGGCATGTTGTTTTAATGTCTTGATCTATGTGAGATAATGGTAATGATCATTCCTCATGTCATGATTTCTCAATTAAGCACAATAACTTTTTAAAAGTTTTATAATAGATTTATTAAATGCAGAAAAAGTTTGAACATTAATAATTAAAAAAAAATACTTTTTCCATAATGTAGACAGCCATTCCTTATCTAAAAGGTATTAAAGGGTTTAAAGAGTTTTAATGGGGGTTGACATATTAATGTAAACTGCCCCAAAATCCTACGGTTGTAGCATGTTTTTGTGTGCATTGCTGCGCTTTCTTAAGTGTAAAAATTAAGATTTGATTCTCAGCAAATGTTGAATTTTATAAATTGACATATAACCCAATTTTGATTTTGGAGTAGTTTACATCTATTTGGCTTTTTAGGGTGCTTTGCAACCATCTCCTAATTCATTGATAAAAATATTCTCTTTGTATACATGGATTTCAAAAATTTTTTATAGATTTTCAAATTCTTTTGAAAATTGACTATCCTTAAACCTTCCCTGGGGTCATGTAATGTCCCACACAAAATTTGGGTTTGATCAGTTTAGCCGTTCAGTTTATTGGATACAAACAGAAAAACAAAGTATATATATATATATATATAGAAGGGGGTGGGCTAAACAGGGTTTGCACTTAAAAATAAACCCTGGGTTGTTAACTTTCTTTGACATATTTATACGTTGGAAAGAAATCATGTAAAAAGTTCATATTTAGAACAAACACTGGTATGCTCTGCTTACAACAATACAATTAACTGGCTTCCACCACAAATTTCAAAATGTATTTGTAAGTAATTCAGTTTAGGATTTGCTGGAAAATAGTTTCAAGAAATAATAAATTGATTTCCAATCTGTTGGAAATTCATTATGTAAATTTTAACAACAATTCATTTATTGCTTGCAGGGTACTGCATATGCTTGTCAAAACAATTAAATTGAAATCTTTTTCAAAAATCATCCACTTTATATGGTGAAAATCTTTTTTCTATTTTATATGAATCATAGAAAATAAAGAAAAGATTAGAGCCTACTGAAATATGCCTGATACATATTTTTTTCAATACATTAAAAATAACTTGATTGATAGTAACATAATTCCTTAAACATTAATACATAGATAAACTAAAGATAGGTGGGTTTGCCATAGAATTAATTTTAATCATATCATAAATCAGTATTCCTGAAAAGCCTAAAAATAAAATTTTTAAACAACTGCTTTAAAATTATTTACAACTGACTAAAGAATTTCCAATTATAAATCTATTGTGCAGAATTCTGTAAGTTTTATAGAGCTCAAAATCTGGCTCAAGTAAAATCCACTTGCATTGGAAACCCTAGGTGACTCAGAAGCTTTGACATCAGAAAATATTCATTTTAATATTTACATACTTCATTGAGAACTCTGAACACATTAATCTCTTTTTATTTAGATTAGTACTGAATTAGATACAAAAAACAATTTTATTAAATTAAACTTTAACAAACATTATATGCAAATATTATAATTCTGAATAAGTTTAATATAACTACTAATAACAATGTTATTTTAGTTTGCTGTGTTATAAAGTTTTTTGACAGAAAGTTTCTCTTTATGGAGAAGGTTTAAGTGTTTTTTAATTTAATTTTGTCTCAAGCTTTAGCAAGGGACAAAATATGATCTAAAAAGGGGAAAACCTTTGAGATAAAGAGAAAATTTAAGCCTAAAAACTTTATCGCATGTAGTGCCAAAATATAGTGTTATAGGTAATTTTATGAAATGAGTAGAATAAGACGGGTTTTTCGAGGTGACTTTGAGGGGTAAATATATTCCCCTCAAAGTGGGTGAGAAAAAAAATGAAGTTACCAAGGAAACCTATTTACCCCTGAAATTATTGATTTTTTAAGTATCCAGAGAGACCCTCAAAACAGACGGGTTTTTCAAGGTGACTTTGAGGGGATAGTCATGCCGATTAACAAAGGTATCTATAAAGAACGTTGTTTTTCTGAATTGAAAAGGGTTTATTTTAATTTTTGAATAAGCAGTTTAAAGGAACAGAACTATTCATATCTTATTCTTAGTTGATCAGATTAAGTAACTGTACAATATTTTTCATTTCTTACTCAACTGTTGTGATTGATTAAAGCTTAGAAGAGGTAATCTTAGAAACAATTAATTCTCTCATGAATTTTGAAACAATTATAAGACTTTCTTTTGCTGAAGGTTTACATTTTAAAAACTAATTGGAAAAATGCAATCGTACTCAAATCAGGTTTAAAAGATAGAAACAGGACTGATGTAGGATAATATTGGGACATACAGGGTTACTCACAAAATGTGAGACTTAAGAAAGGACTAAAATTAGTTTCCCTTTTTTGCTGAAGTTCATTATTTAAAAGTAGAAAACCAAAAATCAAGATTCATGTGGAAAGAAATTATCGAGTCTTTTTCTTTTCCTTTGTGGGTAAACCAATCTATATATAAATATGTCTTGTCTGTCTGGGTGTCTGTTTGTTTGTATCCAATAAATGTCAAAATAGCTGAACTGATCGGGCCCAAGTTTTTTGTGGGACATCATGTGATTACAGGGAAGGTTTATGAATGATAAAAAATTAAATTCTTGAAAATCCACGATTTTTTTTAAAAATTGGCAAAAAATTTTCTTCTTTGTTTTAAAACGTAAACAAAAAGAACATGTTCACAATTTAAAAAAAAAACAGAGGGGTTGAGAATTTTCCCCTTCAAAAAGTGCTTATCGCATATTTTCATTCAGTTTTAACTTTATTCCCTAAAGTCAATAATTGAAAGGAAGTGAGTCTTTGACACAAACTCAGAGATATCTATTGAACCAGAATCATAGAGAGAGGGAGTTTTTTGAGCACCAAAAAATAATCAATAATTTCAGGGTTAAATAGGTTTCCTTGGTAACTTTACTTTTTTCCTCACCCACTTTGAGGGGAATAAATTTACCCCTCAAAGTCACCTCGAAAAACCCGTCTGTTTTGAGGGTCCCTCTGGATACTTAAAAAATCAATAATATCAGGGGTATATAGGTTTCCTTGGTAACTTTACTTTTTTCCTCACCCACTTTGAGGGTAATATATTTACCCCTCAAAGTCACCTCAAAAACCCATCTTTTTTTACTGAAATGTTCGTGTACTTGTCTTATTTCAATGCTTTTTCTACATCAAATAAGCTTTGAAACACAGGAGAGGTATAAATATAAAGTTAATTAAATATTTCGGAAATATCCAAAACTTTTGGAGAAAATCTGGGAACCAATCAAAAATTTATAGCACACATACAGCTAATTTACCTTTTTATCATTACAAATTAATCTATAATTTTTATTTCTAAAAGTTGTTAGTTTATCGTTGAAAAATACTAACAATCCACCACTAATTTATCTATATATAAATTTGGCTTGTTTGTCTGTTTGTCTGTCTGTCTGTCTGTTTGTATCCCATAAACGTCAAAACGGCTGAACCGATCAGGCCCAAATTTTTTGTGGGACATCTAGGGACCCCAGGGAAGGTTTATGAATGATCAAAATTTCAAATATTTGTCTCCATCAAAATTCGATCTCCATTAAATTTTTTGAAATTTTGAAAATCCACGAAATTTTTTGTGAAAATTCGCGAATTATTTTTGTTTTGTTTTACGATGTACACAAAGAGAACATGTTCACAATTAATTTAGAAGATGGGCACGAAGCGCCCTCCAAGGCTAGTATTAAATATAGTTTAAACAATAAATATTTAACTTTCCTTATCCTTTCCTTTCCTTATCATTTCTATTTTTATATTTTTTTAGAATTGGGGGGAAATATTCCCACAACCTATACTTTTAGAGGTTTTTAAATAATTTCCCCTGAAACACTTTATTTTGTATGTTTTTGTTATATTTCATAAATAAATAATTTTTTACTTTTTTTACTTTACTTTTATAGCACAATGATTACTTTATAGCACGTTCATTAGAAATTCAAGCTGAAGTTAGTAAGAATGATTTAGCATACAATAGTTTCATAAAAAATTATATTTTAAATGTTCCTTATCAAAATTCTAAGGAGTCTAAAGCTAAGTATTTTTGTGAAGAGAGGGTTGTGTGAGGTTCATTTATTAAAGAGAATGTTCAACTAAACAGTATTAATCAATGTTCTAATTCAGGTTCATCAGCTCTCGGTAGATGTTGTCCGAGATCTTCTAGAGTGGAAGAGTGGGAGAGGTCAGATGGTTTGACCTTCTCCTTCCATTGCTTGTCGTAGAGTGTTGAAGACCTGGGGTTCTTTCCATCATCAAGAATTAGATAATACGAGTTACATACGAAGCATAATAATATTCTTTACAAAATTATGAAATAATAAACATCAATTATATACAAAATAAAATGAGCACTATTTAACTTCCTTTTCTTATTTACTAGTTAGGATTGCATAATGTAAAGTATATTTAAACTAATCGGTTCTTTATGGAGGGGGGAAGTGATACAAGAAAGGGAGGGGGAAGGGTTTAGGACCACTAAAAATAGACATTTCTTTATTGGTATTTTGTCCAGACATCTGGGGATTCAGATTCTACAATTGTCAGGTGCAAGATATTAGATCTATGGGAAAGAATAACAATTCCAACAGATATCTATTTTTAACGTTGATATTGTCTGAAATTAAGGATTCAGGAAAACAGGGATTCACTACAGTGTATATGAATTTCTATTTTAGAAATAAACTTTATTTAATACATACAATCTTTATTTAGGTATTTTTGCTGTCTTTATCCAGATTCTTCAAAGAATAATTACAAAAAATCTCAACACAGAAACTCACAACAAATTATTGTCTTAATTCTCTAGAACTTTGCAAATAAACATTTCATATTTTAAACTTTAACTTAATGATCAGACAGAGTTTATACATTTAAATGCTTTTTACAATCATAAATCAAAAAGCTCCACCAACTCAGGGCACAAAGAGTAAGGGATCCAAAAGTCTGAATATTCTGGTGAATGTTTAGTTTCTTAAAAATAAGAATACATAACCTTGATGACAAGTTTTCATTAAGAAAAAAAAAACTATTTTTTTTATGATGTTTGAAATAAAAGTTGAGACGAACAATCTCTAAAGTTCAGCCTACATTCTTATCATTTTCCTGATACCTTTTAATTGTCTCCTGATACATATTATCTTTTATTATCATATGTGTATCTCCTCCTAATACATTAATCCTCTTTGATCATATTTTAATCCTCTCCTTATGCTTTTATATACTCTCCTGATACACTTTATCCTCCTGTGATACTTTCTTCCTCTGTTCATATATTTGTGCCCTTTCTTCAAAATTTGTTATTGAATCAAAAAAAATGTATTTTATATTTAATTAAAATAAACAATAATAAGAGGGCTGACTAAATTCAAACAGAGTTCATACATTTAGATACTTTTAACAATTATAAATTTAAAAAACTCTACCAAATTAGGAAGCAAAGAGTTAGGGATTCAAAAGTCTGAATATTCTGGTGAATGTTCAGTTTCTTCAAAAACAAGAATACAAAATATAATGGACAAGAACATAATCAAGAACACTCCCTTTAATCTTCAAGAACTTTGACTGACAACTTAGAAGAAAATGAGTCTCTAATAACAAAAGTATCCAAGAAGAGTACTTGTCTCTTTAAAAATATCAAACTACTCTTTATACTGTCCGACTCTTAACCTCAAGGACTAGAATGGACCATATTCTCAGCTCTCTCTGTGGAACACTACTGTTAAGTTCTAGACTAATTTTTGTTAAAACATACTGATTATAAATGGGGTTTATCCCTGTTATGGTTCACAATAATATGACATAGTAATTTATTCCTTACATACTAAAACACTATTGTTAAAATAAATTCTAAATATAAGGAAGACGATTTTTCCGACTCAAATGCCGACGTTAATTCTCAATGTTTGTGTACACAGGAAGCAAGCACACCACATGTGTCAAATCCCCGCTCACCTTAGATCCCCGCTTCAACCGGCAGTCAGTTACGAACACTCATATTCACAACTCCATCTCTACCCTGGCTCCTCCATGATGATGATGCAGATACTCAGCGCAACGCACCTGTAGATCTGCCCCACCAACATGAAGCTCTACATCACCCCCCTGACTCCTTCGTGCTGATGATGCAGATACTGAACTAACAGCAGGCATGCTTATACTTCTGATCTCCCTATTAACTTCTTGAGAAGCTTACTTAGGAAACTTGTCGAGCTTTGTCCGAAGTTTCCGCTATCTCGAGTTGCCTTGCCTCTGATACATTGATAAACCCTGTTGTCCCAGTTCCCGGATCTGCTCCACCAGCATGAAGCTCTACAACACTCCCTTGAAGCACCATCTAATATCCATCATTAATTCCTTTTTGTTAATTTCTAAATCAACCAATTTTAACCTTCGCCATTTGTGCAAATATTTCAAAACAATTTTATTTTTCTTAAATAAATGTTATAGAATATTTGTGTTTTTTCCTGATTTCTTTATTTGTATATTTTCCGACCTTTTTAAAGGTCAACAACTATATAGTAAAAGATAAAAATCCAAATATAGAGAAGAATACCCCTGAACAAACTTAAAAGGGCATTCCACCGAAAGTCAGGCTAGGCTTGGAAAGGTCATGCCTACAGAGTACGGATGTTAAGCCAAAGAACCCGGAAAATATGTGCTTAAGAGTATCACGTGCTCAGAGCATCAAGGTCCCTATTCAAGCAAATCCTTACAATATTCTTGATTACAAGTTTGAATTAAGAAAAAAAAAAATTTTTATTAATGTTTGAAATAAAAGTTGAGATCACCAATCTCTAGATTTATGTTTGAGTGATGTTAATAAAAGTACATTTGACTTTAGTGTATGTTTTTATCACCTCTTCTTGTACCTTTTTATCTTTCCTGGAACATTATTTCGTTTATGAAAATAATATTCATAATTGTCAATACTATGATGAAGATGAGATTAACAAAAAATTTAATAGTATTTTAACAGAGCAGTTTAGTATTTTGTCCTTGAATATCCAATCTCTCCCTGGAAAATTTAATGAGTTTCAAACATTTTTTGCCTCAACCATGGGAAAATTCAAACCATCTGTAATTGCTCTTTAGGAAATTTGGAATAAACCTGCAAATCTTTTATTTGATTTAACTGATTATCATCCAATTCATTTTACTGTAAGAGATAAACAGGGGCTAAATAGTAATGCAGGGGGAGGAGTAGGACTCGGGGTTCAGAAATCACTTTGTTTTGAACCGATTAATTCAATTTCTATCTTCTTACCTCGCGTTTTTGAATCACAATTTATTAAGATTAAAAATGGGAAGAATAAATATACAGTTGTAGGTAACATTTACAGGCCTAACACTGCTCCGTATGCAGACGTGAAATACTTTAATCAAACAATAAGAGAATTTTATTCAAAAATTAGGTCTGATCCTACTTTAAAAAATGCGCAGGATGTAGTCTTAGTAGGAGATATTAATGTTAACCTTCTTAAACATACATTGCATAGTGACACAGAGACTTATTTAGATACGCTTCTTGAGAATAGTTTTTTGCCTCTTATAACTCTTCCTACTAGAATAGGTCACAATTCAGCAACAATTTTAGATCATATTTGCACTAACATTGCCGATGATAGTTTTGATTCTGGCATTATTGTTTCAGATATTTCTGATCATTTTCCTGTTTTCTATATTCAACATTTTAAAGATAAATTAATAGAAAAAAAGTCCCAACCGAAAACTTTAAAGTTTGACTCTGAGTCTATTTTTAAATTTAAAAAAAATGTTAGAAGATAAAAGTTGGGAAAATGTTCTTCTGAAAAGAGATCAGGACAATGCATTTAATAATTTGTTTGAGTCAATTGATAACTGTTTTGAATGTTCATTCCCTGAAAAAAATGTAAATCATTCCAGAAAAAATAGACCTTTTAACCCCTGGATGTCTAAAGCACTGATAATATCGAGAAAACATAAAGCCAAATTGTTTAATAAAAAGTTGAGGAAATATACACATAAACTTCTTCCTGCATCTTTTGAAAATATTTTTAAAAAGCTTGGAACCTTTGAAAGATCTCTTGACATTCTCAAAATGTGCTCATTACAGTATTTACCATCAAGCTCTCTTCTTAAGATGTGGAATAACCTGCCTCTTGAATTAAAAAGAAGCAACTCTCTAAGTATATTTAAAAATAGACTAATAAATTCTCTTTTTGAAAATTATAAGACAATGTGTTATAAACTGAATTGCTATTCATGTAAAACTAATTAGATGTTTTAATATGCTTTGATATTTGGTGTGTACATGTCAGAAAATTACTTTAAACTCTAGTTATTCAAATTAATGTATAAACTATTTTGCATATGATAAATTTGCACCCTGATCTCTAATCGTTCTCCTTCAATCTATTTAATTGAAATATTTTGTTATCATTACTAAAATTAGGTGGAAAAAATAATCAAAACAGCCAAGAGATATTTTCCACCTAATTGCTTTATACTTGTACTGTTAATATAATCATCAATTTTGTGATTGTAAATTCTATCTGTATACAGATACATTTATTTTAGCAATAAACTTTATCTTATCTTATCTTATCTTATTACCACCTCTCCTGACACAGTTTTGTCATCTCCCACAAGTGAATTGAAATTTAGCATACATTATTATCATTTTCCTGATACCTTTTTATTGTCTCTTGATATGTTTCATCCTCTATTATCATATTTTTATCCTCTCCTGAAACATTTTATCCTGTTTTATCATATTTGTATCCACTCCTGATACATATTTTCCTCTTTCATCATATTTTAATCCTCTCCTGATACATTTTATCCTCTGTTCTCATATTTTTATTCTATCCTGATACATTTCATCCTCTATTATCATATTTTCATCTTCTCCTGAAACATTTTATCCTGTTTTATCATATTTTTGTCCTCTCCTGATACATTTTAACCTCTTTTATCTTATTTTATCCTCTCCTGATACATTTTATCCTATATTATCATACTTTTTCTTCTCCTGATACATTTTATCCTCTATTATCATATTTTTATCCTCTCCTGACACATTTTATCTTCTTTTATTATATTTGTATCCTCTATTGATACATTTCATCCTCCACTTTCATATTTAGTTATCGGATCAAAAAATATATTTCATAATTAATTAAAATAAACGATAATAAGAGGGCTGACTAGAATTCAGCTTACTAAGGGTGGCTTAGGTTTGATAGTTGAAGAGTCAGAGTTTTTTAATATAAGAATGAGGCTTGAATACCTTTCAGACAAGAAGCCCCATACTTTCACTTACTTTTCAATTTTAAGCCCAGTAATTAATAACTTTTAATGACATTCAATTATCACAAAGA